AGTTGCGAGAGGCTATCTGTTGCCTTCATGGTTTTGTTCTCCCAGTAATAGAAACTGGTAGACCTCAGAAGGACTTTCACGTCTGTATCTCCACCCATCCCTGGGATTAGTGGTGGAGTGTGCCTGTCATTCAGGAAAAAAATGTTTCTATGGTTCCAGCTAGTAGATTTGTGGATGTGTTCTACAACATGACACTCACTGCTACAGGTTCTTCTGGGGACTGCTGATAGCTCTGGGAGGGTGAAGGGAGGGGAGTTCTGGGAGGGTGACGGGAGACAGCCAGGTTCTGTGGCTTTTTCTGCCTGGTGATGGCTATTGCCAGACCACCATGGACTCATCTTTGTGCTTCATCCCCGCTCAGGTCAATGGCTTCAGCTGTAGCTCCTTGTGACCACTCCCACAGGAATGCTCACTCTATTTTTCTGCTCTTCCTGGGTGAAGGGACTGCCAGCAGCAATCTGATTCCTCTACTCTCCTGAGAACTACATTAAGCTCTAGGATGTGTCCGTGGTACTTTATCAGATTTTCTCCCTTCGGAACTCTTCTCTGGTTTTCTCCCACTCATCCACCTTCACGTTTTAATTCACAGATCTCTCAGATCTATTTGTGCGGTGAGCAGGGAATCCTGTGTTGAATTATAGCTGTTCAAATTGTTGAAACTTAAAGGGGAGAGACCAGGGGGATCTCCTATGCCATCATTCCTGATACTAGTCTTGAAGACTTTTTAAATTACAAATGCATTATCCTTAATAGCCACAGGGCTACTGAAATTATCTCTTTCATACTGAGTTGAGGTAGTTTGTGCTATTTGAAAAATTGGTTCATGTCACCCAAGTTCTCAAATTTATGTACTGAGAGTTGTTTATATTTGTTTACATTTTTTATTTCTATAATCTATATTGATACCATTCCTGATATTGGTAATTACTGTATTCTTTAATTCTGTATCAGTCTCATTAGAGGTTTATTGACTTTATAAAAATTTTCAAGGCCCGGCTGGGCGTGGCTCAGCGGTTGAGCATTGACCTGGGATCCAGGCGATCGGGGTTCGATTCCCGGTCAGGGCACATGCCCAAGTTGTGGGCTCGATCAATGACTCATCATTGATGTTTCTATCTCTCTCTCTCCCTCTCCTTTCCTTTCTCTGAAATCAATAAAGATATATTTAAAAAAAAAAAAAAAAATTTTTTTTCAAGGAACCACATTTTTGCTTCATTCATCTCATTTTCATTTTCCTTCTTTTCTTTTTAGTTTCTTGAGGCTGGACCTTAGATTACTGATTTGAAATCTTCTTTCCTAATGTTAGTCCTCAGAGATAAATTAGCTGCATTCTAAATATTTTGTTATGCCGCATTTTCATTTTCGCTTGGTTGTATTTTTTTGGGATACATTTTCCCTGATCATGGATTATTTAGAAGTATGTTGTTCAGTTTCCAAGTGTAAGGGGATTTTACTTTTATCTTTCAGTTACACATTTATGATTTCATTCCACTGTGGCCAGAGAACATATTGATTTTAACTCTTCAATTTGTTGAGGTCTGTTTACAGCCCAGGCTATGATCTATGTTGGTAAATGTTCTGAAGGAGTATGAATAGAATGTGTACTCTGCTGCTGTTGGGTGGGGTCTTCCATAAATGTTGATTAGACTCTAACTTTCAGTCTAGCTGTTCTATGAATTGTTCAAAGAGGTATATTCAATTCTCAAACTATAATTATGAGTTTTCAAATTCTTTAAGGTCTATCAGTTTTGGTTTTCATGTATTCAAAGCTGTTGTTAGGTACATAACCATTTGGGATCAATATATTTTCCTTGCGGATTGACACTTGTTTCATTTAATGTCACTAAAAATTTTCTGTTATAGTCTACTTTATTGATAGGAACATAGACATTCCTGCTTGCTTTGACTAATGTTCACATGGTATCTCCTTCTTTTACTTTTCAGTTTCAACCTACTTATACTTGTTATATGTGAAGAATCTCATACACAGCATACAGGCTAGTAATGTATTTTTATCGTTCTGCCAATTTAAACCACACAAATATAGTGTACTTAATGACATCAAGCTTAAGTATTCCAATTTATTTTCTGCTTCCTATTTGTTCTGTTTTCCCAAGAGTCCAGTTGGTTATTGGAACATATTTCAGAATTCCATTTTTGTCCAGTGTTTTTTTTTTTAAAAAACTGATTTTACCCCTAGTCACCCTGGCTCAATGGTTAGAGCGTTGGCCCGAGGACTGAAGGGTCCCGGGCTCGATTCTGGCTAAGGGCATGTACCTCCGTTACAGGCTCGATCCCCTGCCCAGTCAGGGTGCGTCCAGTAGGCAACAAATCGATGTCTCTCTCACATGGAGGTTTCTCTCTCTCCCCCACTTCCACTCTCTCTGAAAAGCAATAGAAAGAATATTCTCTGGTGAGGATTAAAAATAAATTGATTTTAGAGAGGAAGGGGGGAGAGAGAGACAAGAATAGAGAGACAGAAACAGAGAGAAGGGGATGGAGAGAGAGAACCATTGATGTGAGTGAGAAATATCAGTTGATAGCCCCCGGCATGCTTCCTGGGTGCGGACTGAACCCACAACCTGGGTAAGAGTCCTGACCAGGATTCCAAACTGCCATCTTTTTTATGTACAGGAAGATGCTCCAAGCAACTGAGCCACTTGGCAAGGGCTGTCAAGTGTTTTGTGTGTTTCTCTTGGTGCAGGCTTTTCTTAGTGGCTGCACTAGGTGGTACACACATATAACTAGCAATAAATTATTTTCCTTTTCCTTCATTTGAGAATGTCTTCATTTTCTCTTCATCCTTGAAGATATTTTTGCTCGATATAACATTCTGGGTAGATAATACACTTCTTTTAGCATTTGAGAAATGTCCTTTTACCTCCTGGCCTTCATGGTGAAAAATCCAGCATTATTCAAACCCCGCCCCGCAAGTTAAGTGTTGCACATCTCTCTGCTTTCAAGATGTCTTCTTTACCTTAAGTTCTCCTAAGTCTGACTATGTTGTCTTGATGCAGATTCTTTTGGGTTTTTCCTACATGCAGTTCCCTCAACTTCTTGAATTTGTAGTTTATGAGTTTTACCAAATTTAGAAAGTTTTTAGCTGTATGTCTTTGACTATTTTAATCCCATCCTTTCTTCTTTCTCCCAGAATTCAGGGACAAGAATATCTAACTTTTGTTATTATCCTACAGATCCTTGAGGCTCTGTTCATTTTATTAAAAATATTTTCACCCTGGACAGGTGGCTCAGTCACTTGGAGTGTTTTCATTTGATTCTTCATGTCTTCTATTTCTTTGCTGAGACCCTAGTTTTCATTTTTTTTCTATCGTGTTTGTAATTATTCTGGGAAGCATTTTTCTAATGGTTGCTTTATACTGTCAATTAACTTTAACATTTCTGTTATCTTGGTGTTCACATGTATCAATTGCCTTTATTAATTTAGTTTAAGATCTTTCTGGTTCTTGGTATGATGAGTAATTTTCAATTAAAACCTGGACATGTTAGGTTTCATGAGACTCTGGTTTTTAATTAAACCCTCCATTTTAGCTGACCTTGTTTGACATCACAATGTCAGGGAAAAGGTGGCATTGCTTCATTGTTGCTTGGTAACAGGATAAGTCCAGGTTTCCTAGCACTGACACTCCTTGTCATTGCTGGGGGATGGGGGACAGTGACGATGATGAGGGAGTTCGCACTTTTCTCCTGGCATCCAGTGATAAGGCTTCCTGGCTATGAAGAGCTAAAGTGCCTCCTCACTGCTCCCCACATGACCTTCAATGATATGTCGTCAGGGTGATGGGTGTTATGTGGCCTCAATACCACCGGGCAAAGGAGAGAGGAAGAGATGCCTTGTAACTAATGCCTGGTGGGGATGAAAGTTCAGGCTCACTTCATGACCTACACTGACAATACCGGGCAAGGCGGCTGGCCAGCAATTTGGTAGGATGAAAGTCCGAGCTCACTACTTGGTCTTCTTTGACACTACCATAGCAGTGGGAGCTTGAAGCTCCTCAGATTGACAAAGGCAGAAGTCTAGGCTCCCCAGTTGGCCTTTGTTAGATTTTTTTCTGTTGTGTTTTGCTGAAGAACAGTATTGTCTAAGTCTTCTTACTTACTAGGTTGCCGCTCTCCTGGTCCTTCATTTAGAGAGCAGGATTTTGTTGGGATGTTTTTGTCTATGCTGAGCTCCTGCACTGAAGCTCAGCATGGATCCTTTGTTTTAGGATCTTGATTGATTTCAGTAACTCGCATTTGGGCTGTTTTCTCTACCCATGCTTTAAATTCCTGCTCTTATGTTTTAAGTTCACCAATAACCCAGGCCCCTGCACATATGTACTTGCAACCCCCTTCATGACCTTACTGTGTGGCCCCACATGTGCTGTATAATTTCCAGGTTTTGTAAGTAATAAATCTGTATCATTTCAAAGTTTCCTGATGGTTATTGCTAAAGGGTGTCTTAATCATAAGAAGAAAAAGGGCTGTTCTACCAACACCCTTGGTTACCAACAGACTGAGACCAGTACAAAACATCCTTCTCATGTTGGTTTTTATATATAATGCACAGGGTGTTTAGCCGTATTCTGTGGGAAAAATAGGGTAAACTATGTCTCCTCCATCATCCTAGTAGTGCAAGTCTAATGATTTACTTTTGTGGGTTCGTTCTTTAAAAATGTATGTTTTCATTGATATTTTATAGAGAGAAGAAAGGGGAGAGGGAGAGAGACAGAAACATCAGTAAGCTGCCTCCTACACACCTCCTACTGGGGATTGAGCTGCAACCTGGGCATGTGTCCTGACCAGGAATCAAACCAGTGACCTCTTGGTGCATGGGTTGTCGCTCAACTACCTGAGCCACACAGGCCGGGCTTTTGAGAGTTCATTTTGATGACAAAAAGAAAAGTCATCCGATTTTGCCAATTCTCTTATAACAGTTTCAAAGATATTTATAGGTTTAAATAAAAAATAAAATACAAACCATAGAATTCATTTACTCTTACCTTGCTCACTGCCATTTGCACAAATGTTAAGATTGACATACGCACAAGCAGGGCCAGGCTTGGATGATCCTCTGGTGAGTGTAATTTCCAGGTCAGACCCCTTTAACTGAGCACACAGGAATATGTGATTGAGAAACTGCAGCATCTGAACACAGTGTCACAAATAACACAGCAACTGTTTCTTCTAAGAATAAGAACTTTCTACAATTCTGAGAACATAATCAGTACAGTCAACAAAATAGTCAAGGTCTACATTCCCTCCCCCTTTTACCTTTAAATATGCAAAATAGGAAATGAAATCATGTTGTAAATTGCCCCACTGAAAAAACTGTCATTTTTAGCTCTTGCTTGACTATCTTATTTGTCCTATATAAAGTAGGAACATGCCCAGTGGGCGCAGCTCAGTGGTTAAGCATCGACCTATGATCCAGGAGATCGAGGTTTGATTTCCGGTCAGGGCACATGCCCAGGTTGCAGGCTCGATCCCAAGTAGGAGGCATGCAGGAGGCAGCTTATCAATGACTCATCACTGATGTTTCTGTCCCACTCTCTCCCTCTCCCTTCCTCTCTCTAAAATCAATAAAGACATATTAAAAAAAAAAAAAAAAAGAATAAATAAAAAGTAGGCACAAGAAAAGAAGCAAATGATTGAATAAATGACTGACATAGATTTTCTTCCTGTTATAAATGACCAACTTCTGGCCATGTTTTGGTATTAGATTTCCATCTAATTTAGTTACAACTAAAATGTACCAACAGGAAATGAAATTTTAGTTTTATGTATAGCCTACTACCTTAAAAGTTAACTGCTTTTAAAGTCCACTGCAGTTAAACAATAGTTCCCAGAATCCATTATATTGACTTATGTAGTTTTAGATACAACTGGCCCATACAGCCATGTGATCCTGGCAATTCTTATGTACTTCCTGGCTACGTTCCCCAAGAGAACTGCTATGAGACCAAGTTTACCTTCCTTCCCTCTTTCCTATTGCAGGTATCATCTGTCTGATCCTACTGACTACTGTCCAGAGCAATAAGACTAAGTACTAAACTAATTGCTACTGAGGAAATGGAATTATCAAGATGTGAACACATAAACTAAATCTCTTAATAGTTCAACAGAAATCAGAACTCACCTTCATTTTTTCTTGAATAAGGACTTTATTTGATGAAGGGACTGGATATTGTTTCAAGGGAGCCTTTATGGTGGCAAATATGAACTCCATGTGGCTTTCAATAATAGTGCTCAGATAATTTCCTTCAGACTTTGCTGTGTAATAAACTGTTATTTCATCAGTCGGAAACAGATTGCACTGAAAGTACATACAGAAAATGTAAAAAGGGAAGCACTGTATTAATCGAAATGTAAGGTACTGTTGTTGAGCAAGAGCTGACAATCCCATGCAGTCACTACGGGAGGACACAGTCCTGCCCAACCCTCCTCCGAGACAAAGGAGTGACACAGCGGGAGCCCACTCACACAGCTCTGCACTAGACAAGAGAAGCCCTTTGACACTCACTTGACGGCACCCTACCCTTCCTCAGAGACACCTATTGTCATCTCTGATGACCTTCTGCACCAGTCAGGAGGGCTATGGATCCAGAAGATGATGTGGGGGAAGCCCCAGGGAAGTGAAAATAGGAGGACAAGGGACATAGGCTGGCTGACAGCGCCGAGGCAGAGAGACCATGCAGGGAGGGAGGGCTGACTCTCCTGTAGAGTTCAAACTGCCTGGACCATGCCTTAGTGACCAATTTTCATCAATCGGTTACCATGGTTTACATTACCTACCTCTCCCATCCTCCCCAACAAACAAAACAAAAACAAAATGAACAAAACTCCAAATCAGTAGCTTGCTCTCAATATGACAAACCTTTTTGCGAAGTTTTTGGATGCGATTGATGATTTCCCGAGCCACTCCTTGATCCACCATTGACTGGTCAGGGGTGACATCTAAGAGAACCAAAGCCTGTAGGAATAAACAGCACACCACGACAATCAAATAAAGAGATACGGTTCTTTCAAACTCAGCAAAATGCCACTTAAAATTAAATTCTGAGAAGTCTAATATGCAGCACTATATATTCACAAAACTAAACAAAGGACATAGGTAATTTAGTTTCTTTATAGTTTGGGTTCTTGTCTATAACCAGCAATCCCTTCATCTCTGGAGAGAGGTGCGGCTTTACCTTTCTTCTGCAGGGTGCTGCTCAAAGGAGATCTTGAGACTGCACCTATTAGCATCTCAAATCCATTTCGTTTAATAAATAGTATCAACTCTTCCAATAAAAACATCCATAGTCATAAAGCCCGTAGAGCAGCTTTTCACCACAAACAAGTGGATGAAAGGCAGCGTGTTTTCTTAACCCTGACCCCTTCTACCCTTTGGTTTGTTAGTGATTCCAGAGACTTTCTACAACGGACCACACTACTTTTTTATATGAGTTCAAACTGCCACTTTCTTGTCAATTTTGCCTACTTTTCTCTCTCACCAGTTCTCAAGGTTAATGATGATGTACTAATAATAAAAGTATCACTTCTTTTAGAGGGGGACATACTTATAAATTACATGGTTACCATTTACCTCAAAGGAAACTCAATCAGAGAAGTTAAACTTCATGAAGGGACAGAAGTCAGAACTAAAAATGGATGAGTCAGGGCAGCACACCCTGGCCCACAATGACACTTCCTTGAGTATAGACCACTTCTGCAGGCCTCCCTGACACTGGCTGTAGCCAGGAAGGACAGCAACCTCTGTGTTTACAATCCTCCCTGCACCCCCTTCCTGCCTTTTTAGCTTCCTTACCTTTGGCTCCTTACCAGTCTGCCTGCATGTTGTCTACATGTAATGTAAGCCCCTGTGCAAAGGCTTGAGGGGGTTGGTCTCTTCATACAAGGTCTCCCCACCTCCCCTTGCATCTGGCATGTTAGGGACATAGGGACTCCAGCAAGCCCCCACTCCCACAGTGGAGATCTTACAACCTATCTGTCCGAAGAAGTCTGACCAGGAGTAAAAAAGAAATGCTGTGCTCTATCACAATAAAAAATGTAGATCCCAGAATCCAAAACTGCCTGTACAGCCTGTTCAAGGAGCACCCCCTAACCATCCCTACCTCTACCCCACACTGGACAGGCACTCTTCTCTGTACTTATTTTTACCAGATAATTTATCAGGCAGAATAACAATTGGCTCACTTCTGTCTTCATGACTTACTTTCTCCTCTATAATCTTATTTTTTGGTAAAGAAATGCTCTAGGGAACAGAATATTACCTGAGCATCTGAGTGTGCTTCAAACTGCACCGACCCAAACGTGGCCTGATCAAAGGTGTACATGAGGCGAATGTCGTCTTCATGTAATTCATGGCCTCCCACAACAATGGTCCCTGTTAGAGAAGCAACTGCCACTGTTAATTTGTTCCTCTTCCTCCTCAACCTGCCCGGCTACAAGCATATTGTGCCACTTTTTGATAAAATTCCTAGCAGCCCAGACAGCATGGCTCAGCGGCTGAGCATCAACCTATGATCCAGGAGATCGAGGTTCTATTCCCTGTCAGGGCACATGCCCGGGTTGCGGGCTCCATCCCCAGCAGAGGGTGTGCAGGAGGCAGCTGATCAATGACTCTCTCATCGATGTTTCTCCCTCTCCCTCACTCTCTCTGAAATCAATAAAAATATATTAAAAAAAAAATTCCTAGCATTAAGCCACAGAGGCTTCAAGATATCCTGTCCTTCTGAACCAAAGTCTACTGTCGTATATAAACTCCCAGGTCCAAGGACATGCCAGGCAGCCATGACTCCCCACCATAAACACAGACCTCAGGGCGTGACTAAGAATGCAGTCTGCAGAGCCAACAGAACTTAGGCTCACCCTTACTGATAAGAGGACCTTGATTCCATTACGTGCTGGGCAAAGTGCAGTCAGGTAGGTAAAGTGAAGTGAACAGTGTGAAATTTTGACTGTCATGCTTGTCCACCCCAGGCAGAGCATTTAAACAGTCAAAGATGGCAACTCCCATCTTCATGAAGCCTGCTGAGATTACCCACCATGGTGTTCTTGGTGCCCTGAGTACTGGGCTGCCATTATCACGTCAGTCACTGTGTTCTGAAAACTACTTTGCTTTCCATCATGCAGATCAGTTTATTCAGAAACTACAGTTTTGAAACGGTGGTCTTTTGGTTTTAAGTAAGATGGATTTCAAAATTTTTTTATATTTTGGCTATCTGGTGAAACAACTTAGATTCATGACTGGAAGTTTAATCAAAGATTTTATTAATTAAATATAGTAAATTAGTTATGACACAACTTTTAGTTGCTAGCCTCTCATGTAAGCTCTCCAGATAAATTTTATCTGTTTGAGGAATCTTAAAGACATTTCCCGCAATTTCCATAATCACTCATCTGAACTCAATCTAAATCTCTATTCATGTCACCTCTGTGCTTATGATTTTCAACTTCAGAGGGAGCCCTTAACACTTTGTGCTCCAGGACAGCTGCAGAACGTCAAGCAGCCATAAGACGACCAAGTTGCAGGCATGATTCTAATCATGGTCGAGCTGATAACTTCTGAACACATGGATAGGAAAGGAAGAGAGAGCTGACTCCCCTAACCTCCTCATAATGTCCTATAGCTTTCCATCTGAGCACTTATCAAGACGATGACTACTTCCATAGATCTTTCATGTCTGCCAGCACAATAAGGGAAAGGACGACATCTGTCTTATTAAACTCTGTTCCCACGGCCACCTGAACCGAAGGGCTTTCAAAATATTTGCTGAACTAGCCCAACTGAGAGACCAATACAAGAATTCTAGAAATTTTAGAGAAACTGTGATGGGTTCTGACCTAGTTCTTCACAAAAAGTTCTAAACCTCAGTGCTAAACCCTTCTCTAAAAATACTTTAATCTTTTTCCTCAGTATTTTCCAGTCTTCATCCTGATACCTCCAAAAGTTATCATCTTTCCTGTAGCAACATCCCCAAGGGCTCTGCTTTCTCTTCCATGAAGGCAGATTTTCTGGGCCCACATTAGCATTTGTAGAATTCAATGGTAAACTAAGGGCCACCCATCTGATTCTGTAATTTCTATCTAGAAAGTCAGTCCAAAGAAATTAATTTCATAAAAATATTTACATGAATATATTCACTGAAATATAACAGAGTATTGAAAGAATGAAAATAGTCCAGCAGGGCGTGGCTCAGCGGTGGAGCATCAACCTAGGAGTCAGGTGATCGGGGTTCGATTCCTGATCAGGGCTCATGCCCGGGTTGCGGGCTCGATCCCCAGTCTAGGGCGTGCAGGAGGCAGCCGATCATTGACTCTCTCATCATTGATGTTTCTGTCTCTCTCTCTCCTTCTCCCTTCCTCTCTCTGAAAT